GTTGCTTCCTGCTGTTTCACTGACTCCTATAAGTCATACATTATTCCTCTTTGCCTCATCTTGCAGCTGTTGAATTGACTTTTCCTGGATCCTTTTTGATTTTACGAGATCCTTTCTTTCACGGTCGCTAGCTGCCATGCTGTCTTCAAAGTCTGAGATTCTATCTTCAGCTTCATTCAAGCAATCTTGGTAGCTTTCAATGGCAGGTTTGTTTTCCTGGAAGTCTCTTTGAATCTGGTTCATGCGTTCTAAGTCCTTTCTATATTTTTCATTGAACACTTCTGACCCTTGCCTTTGTTCTCCTATTTTCTTATATGTTTCTTCTTCAGACTTTTTGAGGAGTTCCTTCATTATTATTGTCATTTTGCTTTTTGCCTGAGAAATTATTTCTGATCTCATCTCTTCTATTGCCTTATGCAGTTGTTTCTTTACCTCCATTGCAATCATTTCAGCTATTTCAGGCATGTGTTTTTCCAAGTTCTCCTATGTCCATGTCTCCTGGACTTGTTCTGAGTGGGGTGGAGTTCTGGGATTTGTTTTAGTCCTTCATTTTGTCATGTTTGCTACCAGATGCAGAAAGCTCAGTTTCTCTCTTCAGTAGCTGCTCAGCCAAGACCACTAGTGTCCCTAGTTTTCCTGTTGGTCAGGTTTGCCCCTCAGTGACCTCTGAGAAGCACTACCTAGTCTCGGGTTTTCCGGCAGTATTTGATTTGTATCAGGTTATCCCCTTTGTCAGACACGGGCACTGATGTCAGCTGATGGCCGACCGTCTGATCCAGCATCCCCTTGCAGTTCAGGGCACGTGCATGACCTAGACTTGGGTTGCACTGATGTGACAATCTCGGTCCAGTGGACCTATGTCCCCAGGCAGTTCAAGGTATAGGCAAAATCCAGACACAAACTGCAGAGTCTTCAGTTTGTGAACCACCTGATTCTGTGTCTCCAGTCAGTTCAGGACACATACAGGAACCAGATGCAGGCCGGATGGGTAGCGGTCACAGACTGCCTATGCCTTCGACCCGCTAGGGGGTCTGGGTGAAAGTAAAGCACAGACTCGAACCACGGGACCAGCAGCTCCCGGAGCACTAGCTCACCGGGCGCAGGGCACATGAGCACTGGGAGAGGCTACACACCCCGCCCCCAGCCAGAGAAGTCCCTGGGGCTTCTGAGTGAGGATCTCCTATCTGCCACGGGTGCAGGGAGGGGAGACTCAGTCTGTAATGGCAGCGGGGTCCTGGGTCACCTGCTCCACCCTCAGGAAGTAGATGGGAAATACCTGGCTCTGTCCACGAGTTTCAGCTGGGAACCGTGGCAGTGTGAGCAAAGCACGGACTCGAACCACGGGACCGGCAGCTCTTGGAGCACTCACTCACTGGGCACAGGGCGCGTGGCGACTGGGAGAGGCTACACGCGCTGCACCCAGCCAGAGAAGTCCCTGGGGCTTCTGAGTGAGGATGTCCTCTCTGCCGTGGGTGCAGGGAGGGGAGAGACTCAATCTGTAATGGTGGCGGGGTCCTGGGTCGCCAGCTCTGCCCTCAGGAAGTAGATGGGAAATATCTGAAGTAGATGGGAAATACCTGGCTCTGTCTGCGAGTTTCAGCTGGGAACCATGGCTGTGTGAGCAAAGCACAGTCTCGGACGGTAGGGCCAGCAGCTCCCGGAGCACTTGCTCACTCGGCACAGGGCATGCGGGGACTGGGAGAGGCTACACACCCCGCCCTCAGCCAGAGAATTCCCTGGGGCTTCTGAGTGAGGACCTCCTCTCTGCCACAGGTGTAGGGAGGGGAGAGACTCAGTCTGTAAAGGTGGCGGGGTCCTGGGTTGCCCACTCTGCCCTCAGGAAGTAGATGGGAAATACCTGGCTCTGTCCGCGAGTTTCAGCTGGGAACCGTGAGGGTGGGAGCAAAGCACAGACTCAAACCGTGGGACCGGCAGCTCCTGGAACACTTGCTCACTGGGCGCAGGGTGCGCGGGGACTGGGAGTCCAGTGTTTTTTAAATCATTTTCTCTTTGTTGATTCTCCATTTCCCACCTTTTGTATTATACTCTTTACTGTTACCTCTTTTCATTAGCTTGTTCCTTTTCTCCAAATTTTCATGGGTCTTCTCAAATACCGCTCCACAACAATGAATCCAATTCCTGCCCTGCTGTTGCAGCTCTTTCCTCCTCATCATACACACTTTGACTCTGCCACTGCTTTTTTGGTCTCATTAGAACATTTCCTTATCCCAGCGACAACCTCGCCTCCCCATCCATTCCATTTTCATCCTTTCTACTGTTTAAATACCTAATCTTTCACTGTCATTTTTTTTTCTTGAGTTTCCTTAAGGACAGAAGTGGAGGCTCTGAAATTTTTACTTATGTTCCCTATTAATAATCGTTTTAAAAGTTATGCTTTCCATCTGTAACTGAACCTGTGCTTCTCTTGGTTTATGAGTTAGAATCTTTCTGTAGGACCTGTGTTCATTCTGCAAAGTCTCTGCATGCTAAACAGGTTATGTGAGCTCTCCACCACTCACTGTACCTCACTCCCCACATAGGTGCTGCTAGAAACTTGCCCAGATTTGTGTGAAGCCACTTATATCCCTGTTTGATCAACCTTACAGTGTGGCTGTTGGAATTTGTTTATCATTCCTTCTCCTATTGCACTGGGGGTCATGTTGCTCATCTGTTTTTCTGGGTGTTCAGCCTCCATACACCTTTGTGATGCCTTTGTGCCCTGCTACCATTCTTACAGTAATGCTCAGCACATTTCAAAGGGCCCCTGATACTTTGTCAACTTTCTGCCCAGAACCTCCCTGTTCTCCATGGTCAGCTATAGTGACTAGTGACTCAGACCTGTGCCATTCTCAGGTACACTGCCCTTGACTGACTAGAGCCTCTTTGTCCAGAAAGGGAGGCAATTCACTACCCTTGACCGTGTGGCCAGTGATGATGCAGGGGTAGAAAAAGATGCTATCTTCTGTACCTTCAAGGGGGAGATAAGTCTGTTAAGTCCTCCAATCTCTTTCTACCTCATATGTCAAATCTAGCCTTCACCTGATAGCCACCTCTTCCGCTTTCCTATACTGCCTCCTCCTGTCTTCTCCTGAGAGGATTCATCAGTAAATCACATGCACTGGATCCCATGTAGTGAAGAAGAAATGGGGAGATGTACATAAGGTCCCTGGTATATAGTGAGTGGTCAAAATGCTAACTCCCATCCCTTGTACAGTTACAGAACTAAGGATTTGCTGATACCTGATATATAAAATACATGCATCATAATATTATCTGTAAGAATATTAAAAACTAGAAACAATCTAAATATCTAATAAGAATTTGTAGGCAATTCACAATATCCATATGGAGGATTATTATGCAGTTTCTAAATGAATAACGAAATAATCTGCCTATGTAATAAGCAGAATTTGAAGGTGATTTATAGCATATCCATATGGCAGAAGATTATATAGCTATCATGCCAAGAAGAAAAACATGATGAAGTAAGCAAAGAAAGATGCTGGATGCTACCTGGTTTATAAAATAACAGGCCACTGAGAAACTATCTTATAGATAACAATATGTAAAACAATAACCATTGATAATTTCCTACCACTTTGTCTGTAATTTGGTAAGCCCCCCCATTATTGTTATCCTTCTTTTATTCTTTAAAATAAAAAATAAAATAAAATAAAATAACAGGCCAAGTCCTATAGTTTGACAGAGGCCAGCTCTGCACTCTAACAATTGATAGCAAGAATGAAATCCTAATCAGTCACAGACTATGTCCAGAGGTTAAAAGACAAACAAACAAACAAAAAAGTGCCAAAATGCCCAGGAAAAGGATAGCTATGTCTAAGCCTGAGGCCACAGAAAAATCTCCGTCATAGGTCCTAAGTAAGAACAGTCTGTATGTCTAATGACCCAGTTACTAACCACCTCCTTTACTTACCATAGTACTGAGTTACCTAGCTCTGGTCCCTGAGTAAACCATTCTCCTCATACCCACAGTCTTTGACTGCTTCTGTGAGCTGCAACCCAGAGGCTTCTGAGAGCTATTAAATAGCAGAATTTGAGATGACTTCTTGGAAAGTTCTGGAAGCACTGTCATTCTGGTTGGCTCTATGTGCTTCCATTGCCCCCTAGGCTCAGTAAAGTTGGCACAGTCTTGTCAAAACAGTTGAGCCTGGCAGGATGACTTCCTGAACAGAAGGCTGCCTGCCTGCTTAAATATGCACCTGGGGGCACCAATGTGCTCAGTGAGAGGAAGGGAGAAAGTGGTTTTGGTTCCCTTCAACACAGAGCCCAAGGTACCACAGCTCAATGCTGTAAACACTGTGAAGAGCTGCAATGATTCCCATCTGAGCAGCTTGAACAGAGCAACTGGGTAGAATGGGCTTTGTGTGAGGCTACTTACTATCCTGGCTGCCTGCTGAGGAGCTTGCTCCTCTGTCTCCCCAAAAGTTGAGGGGTATCATGGGAGAGAGATAACATCAACTTCTTTTTTCTTGAGTCACGCCTCACTTAGTTCATGGAAATAATTTTATTTCCCCAGTTTACTTGAATACAGCAGGAACAAATAAATATGTCAAAGTGTAGGCCGATATAGATGACTGTCTAACAGAAAACAAAAAGTATATTACTGATGATACAGAATGATAAGCAGTGATCTGTCTGTCCTTACTAATTTTTCACAACCAAAACTAGAATCTTCTAGAACTTGAATGTGCTGGAGACAGTAACTACTGACTTGGAAAAGGAGCCAGACATAAAGCGATAGCAGGAGGGTCAACAAGAGGAAAGGGATGGGAGACAGTACAAGATAGCAACACTATTCCAGGGTGTTTATGGCTGCCTCTTTGGCTGTACTAACACATGCTAAGTCTGGGATGGAAAAAACAAAACCTCTAAAATCCCCAGTATTCCACATAAAGTCTTTGTAGAACCAATGTATACCCCAAGCTATCCAGAAAGTCAGCAAGTGAGCAGAAGCTCTCCTTCAGGGATGTCTTCCTTACCTTCTGCCACATGTTGATGAAGAAGAGCTCCCGGGACACATTGAAGGATACATTGGCATCATAGGCATCGTCCCCAAGGTTGGAGATGGAAATGTTTAGGGAGATATTCTTCACAGCCCCTAAAGCTAGATAGGGGGTTTTCTCATCAACACTGCAATGAAAAATACACAGCAATTAATACTCTGAGGCTTATACTAATACAACATGATGTATCAGGGTTGTTGACAGTGGGGGCAGAAACTGGGGTTAGAACTACAAGTCCTAGGAACTCCACCAACCAAGGCACATGTCCTGGGGCAGTTGGCACCATGAGCCCCGGTATCCCTAAGACACATGGCTCTGCCTTGCCTAACACTAGACCCTTATGTGGCTCTGAGGAAACCCTCTATTTCAAACTTGTAAAACTGTAACAATAATCTATCCATGGAATTAATTCATTCATTTGGTTATTTTTGAGCACCTACTACATTCTGGTCACTACCTGTTAGGGGAAAAGCAGTGAACAAAACAGAGGTCTTGTTGCTCAAGGCAGAATAGATAGGTCATAAAATATTTATTTTATAAATGTCATACTGGAGAACACATGAGGGCAGAAAGTGCCATGCTTAAAGGGGAAGTGAGCTATGATTTTAAATACAGTGATCACAAAAGCCTCACTAATGAGGTGACCCCTAAGTAAGCACCTAAAAAAGAAGAGGAACAAGATATGCAGGGTCCAGTACCCAGTGCAGAAAGTCTCTGAGGTAGATGTGCACCTGATGTGTTCAAGGAACAGGAAGGAGGCCAGTGTGGCTGGAGAGGAGTGGGCAAGAGGAGATGAGCTTAGACAGGTGAGGAGGTGGGACTGGCAGATGCCACAAGGCTTTGGGAGCCATCACCTGCATTCCACTGTGAGCCAGACAGGAGCCCTTGCAGGGCCCAGAGCCAAGGAGTGGTGTGACCCGGCATGCACGTTGAGAGACTCACACTGGCCATGATGGGAACGATCTATGGAACAGTGAGGGGAGAAGCAGGAATCCTGGTGAGGAAGTTCCTGCAATAATTCAGGTGTGAGACACCTCAGAGAGGGTAGGGACAGCTGAGGCAGTGAGGGGAAGTCATACTCGGGGTATGTTTTGAAGGCTGAACCAACAGCTTTTTCTCAGGAAGGGTTTAAGAAAAAAAGAGCCAAAGACAGCTTCAGCGTTTTTGAATTTATCAAGCAGAAGACTTGTCATTCAGTGAGATTGGAAATACTGTGGGTAGAGAAGGTTTACCAGAGAAAATCCAAATAACTAGGAGTTTTTTGGTTTTTTTTTGACTATGGGATTTTAAAGGAGATATTGAGGCAGCTGGTGGCATAAGTCTAGAGTGGAAGAAGGCATCAGGGCTGACAATGTACATTCAGAACTGACTAAATGGGATGCTAGGAACAAGTGTAGGAGAGAAGTGGTCTCACATTTAGGAGCCTAAGGTGAGGACAAGCAGCAAAGGAGACCAAGGAGAGGCTGGGGAGGTAGGAAAAAAATCAAGGGAGATAGTACCTCAGTGAACACAGAAAATAAATTCCCAGGAAGGAGTGGCCAACTTTGTCCAACATGACAGATAGGTCAAAATAACCTGAAAAATTAGAACTGGCCCCTGGAATTAGCTATCTGGAAGTCATTGGTGATCTGCATAGGAACAGTGTAGTGGGAGTCATGGGATGAAAGCTTGACTGGAATAGGTTTAAGAGACATAGGAAGAGAATAAATGGGAATGGTGAGTACAGACAACTATCTAGGGGAGTTTTTTATCCTGTGTAAAGGAGCAGAAAAATAGTATGGTAGCTAGTGGAAGAAGAATGCCCAAGGGACTTTTTTTTTTTTTTTTTTTTTAAGATGGGAAATCTCATAGTATATTTGTATGCTAATGCGATGGATTCCCCACAAAGGGAATAAGTAATGAAGATATGACAGGGAGTGGGGTCTGATAAGGAAATAGAAGGCAAGTGGGTGGGAAAGAAATGAAGCATAAGACACCCTGCAGATGCTGTGGTGGATGGGGCAGAAAGAACATGCAGGTTCCTTGGTGATTCTGCCATAAAAGGGAAGCACAGTCCAAGACTGGGATGGGGAAGAGAAGGAAGGTAAAGGTTTGATGGGTGAGGAGATGGAAGAAATGATAGCCCAGGAGAATAAGGGAGTGAACTGGGCAAGGACAATAATGGTGATGAGAATGAGAGGAGGAGGAGGATACCAATGCAGATGTACATACAATTGATGATTTAATATGTGATATGAGCTTTGGAAAAAATAAACTCTTATCAGTGGCCACTCAGTTATTAGAAAGTATGACGCAGCATGTGAGTGAGGGTTTGCATAGTAGGCAGCTGCTATTTTTGGCCACTCAGTATTTTGACATTTTCTTGGCTTGGGGAGCTCTTAAGATAGATTGGAGGAGAATATCAATAAAAGGAGGGCAGACCCTCTCTCCACTTTATGGTCACTTGGTGTGGGCACCTAAGTATAGTCATGTGATCTAAGAGTGGTCAAGTGACCTGATGTGTGCCAGATGCTCCCACATGGGTCTATGAGTTTTGAGGGTTACACAAAGGCACAGGCCCTTCTGAGATTACTTGAGGTGGCTACTGGAGGACTGAGTGCCCCGAGATGACATCCTGAGCTAAGCCTGCCTTATTTTCTGCCCATGTTGGTATCTCAGGCTTTTGGCCTTTGTACTGAAGACTTTTCAATAAATTCCTTTCCTGCTTCAGCTAACCAGCACATGTTTTTGTCATTTCCAACCATTAATACAACTAATACAGCATGGAAGAGAAGAGAATTAGTGAAACTCTCAACAGGCTGCAGTACTTTGAAATACAAATTTTAGGGGGAGGAATCATCATCACCCATCTATGGACAGGGAATCTCAGTCTTCTGCATATCTGGCACATCAGCAAGAATAATATGTACAATGAGAAATCTGATGGCCTTGGATTGGAAGCAAGAGCTCTGAGGATCCAAACAAGATGTAAAAAATTAACTTAGAGAAGAGTTTCAAATTCTTGAATGGCCTCCAATAAATTAAGACCCTGACCTCAAGCTATTGTAGCAATTATTTATTATTGTTGGCCATTTTAGTTTTAAACATTTGATAGGTTATTTCTGTCCTCTTGTTTGCTTTTGTAAGATTAAAGGAGTAATTGTCAGACCTTGAGTTATGAGAGAGCACCAGCCTAAGTTTATCTGGAGGAGGAACTGTACAGACACAAGCAGCAGTCACCTCAGAGTAACCAGTTTGCATGGCATATTAAGCAGAGAGACAATACCGATGAGCACAGGAATATGGGGTAGGGGATGTTTCTCACTCCAGTGCTGTTCACGTATCCAGCCTCTTTCTCCCAAGTGCAAATGTTAAGGGGTCAGGTCAGGGACATCTAAATTTTTGCCAGTCTCCAAACCTTGGGCCTCTGTCACTTAATCATGCAGCAATGTTATCCCTTGAGTTTCATAGTTAAGTGATTCAAATATAGCTTCATGATTAAGGGAAGACAGGCATATTCCAGGGCAAAATATAGACACAAACTTTTTGAAAGAAGCCTCAAAATTGTATTCATTCTTTCTCCCAAGCTAAAAATCCATTACCAAATCGGTACATCTCTGCCTCCAAGGTTATTCTTAGAAATGAAATGAAGTTGTACTTTGCCAGCGTCATGCTAGGTGAAGTCAAACAAGTCATCCATCTGAAGTCTTACAGTAACTTTGAAAGGGTCTTGATGTGAGTCCCATTTTTAAAGATGAGGAAATCACAGGCAGAGAGTTACAGTGACCTCAGCGAAGTCCCTGTGCTGGATGAGAACCTAGGACCTTCCATGGATTCAAAGCTCATTCCTCTCCATCACTGCCACTTCTTGAGCCTGTTGCCTGTTGCTGCCCTAAGAGGTCCTTCCTGATCTCCCTGCAGGGGTGAAAGAAGCCTTCTTATTGTGAGCTCCCCACCCCATGTGCTCCCGTCAGCCCTTCATGGCAGTCAACTACGCTGTGGCCACATGTTTATTCAAGTGGATCTTTGATTGGGGATTCTCTCTCTAACTAGAACCTAAATATCGTACCAAAGGGCAGGAACATTTGCCTGGCTTTACTCACCACTGAACTACCAGTAACAGTATTATATCTAGCACAAAATTTCGCAGGGAATGAAATTTCTTGAAAAATAGATTCTTTAATAAATAAAAAACCCACCTGTGAAATGTGTGGCATGAAACCTCTGTGTCTGACAGTTTAAATCTTTCAACAAAGCTGACAGAGAGGCTGATCTCTCTTAGGAGTCCCCATGAGTCCTGCTGAATGAATGAGTAATGTCTCAACATTCGCACAACAGGTCTTCAGCTCAACCTCCATGTTCTGCAGGGAAGAAACTGAGCCCTAGAGAAGGAAACCCCTACAGTTGTGGTCACCCAGCCTCATAGGGCCTGAAGCAGAGCTAGCACCAAACTCCCTTGAGGATGAAGGCTGTACAAGTTACAGCTCTTAAACAAACTCCTTCTAAATCAGGGAAGACTTTGGCAAAAAAGACCTTTAGTGACATCTGAAAAGAACAGAATTCCATGGAGACAAGATCTCTGACAATTCTGCCAAAAGAGTAAAATCATCAGGACAGCAGGTGGGCCAAACATTCCATGGCTGCCTAGTTATTTACTGAAGAACAATTTTTCAATTTTCAAGGAATTTCATTCTCTGATAAATTCATTCTTCTATTAATTCTCTCTTGTGACTTTTAATTCTCTCTTGTGACTTTTAAATGAATCATATTACTTTGTACATGGATTTCTCATCACTAATAGTCAATGTAAGAGACAAACTGAACTGTTTCTATAAAGCTTGTATCTTCCAGCACTTAAGTAGCCTTCTAAAAACATATCACTGATTTATTATTAAAAGTTCTATTCTAAGATATCTTAGAACAGCTATTTTGAAAATGTTATTGCATTCATACACAGTGGTGCCTCGGTTCACGAACTTTATTCTTTCCATTATTTTGGTCATAAACCGAACTGGATGAAAACTGAATCAAATTTTCCCATACCACTGAACCTAACCACTGAATTTGACTCTGTTCTCATCCAGTTCAGTTTGCGACCAAAATTGTGGAAAATTAAGTTTGTGAACTGAGCTACTACTGTGTCATTAA